GAAAAAGTTTAAATTTTAATACTAAGTTTTTAACATATATTTATTTGTTGAAGGAATAATTTAGCTTTTTTAAATGTATAAAAGCGGCTATGTCAACCAACTTCAACTTTGTGGGCATGTAAATTTCTCCATAAATTTGTAGGTTGTTAGGTATCTTAAATATTTTTACTTTTATTAGATTTATTCTAGAACTTTAGTAGTTATTTTTAACTTTCAGTATATTTATTTTTTTAGTATTGACATATAATAAGTAACCAAACCAATAATTTTCAAAAGTAATTATATGTGTCTAAAGCCAATTAAAATCCCCGTCGATTTTCATTAAATAAAATTGTCGACATTGTTTTTTCTTTTATGCTTTATACATGTTTTGATTTGTTTGTGTCTTGGGGTATAGTCATATTTATAAAATAAATTATATGCATACAATGTATGTGAGGGGGTTAACTTTTTTTAAGTTAAAGATCACTTTTTTTTATGTGGAAGAAACATACTCATAGAGGTAAGACATGCTAAAGAAGTAGTTATTTTACCGAAATTCGAATAAGTAATGTATTTATATAAGTTGATTTTTTTGGGAGTTCTTATGTAGTCCAAATAAGGAAAGACTTAATCGTCAAAATTTTATTAAATTTTAAAGTCCTAAATATTAGAAAAATAAAGTAAATAACGATTTTGTCTAATGTAAAATTTATTTTTAAAGGGTAAAAAAGACAAACAACATTTCGTTAAAGGCCTTCGTGTTTTTAATATAGTATAGATGATGCGTACCTCCCATATACGAAGCTTGAAATAATTAATGACTTAATAAGACATGACAAATTTAATTTTAAATTTTTTATTTTTCTCTGAGATGCTTTTTAATCATATAAATATTTTCAATTTTTTTTTCAAATCATAAATTTTATAGAAGTTTCTCTTTCTTTCTTAAATTTGTTGTTAAGTCAAATACCGCCCCATAAAATAGGATAGTTTATTATTCATACCTCCCATATACGAAGCTTGGAATAATTAATGACGTAATAAGCCATGGCAAATTGAGTTTGATTCTCAGGTGGATAAACGGGCTCAATCTCCCTCAAGATACAACCTTGAGCTTCCAATATACGGCGGTGCTCCTCCGGAACATCCGGAAGCACCGCCACCACGAGCGGATACGCAGTATGAACCTTCCTCAAACCCTTAGCCAAACCAACGACTCCCTTCACGTAATCGCCATTTCCAGCCAAGAACGTAACATACGCCCTGTTTGATGTAATATTATTGGTTAGAATCGTTGGTTTTACCATTTGTCCTCTCACTGACACAATTTCCGGAGCCATAATAACAATCTTAATTAATTTGGACAAGAAATTTGAGTTTCTGTCTTATATATATGTGTTACAGAAGATGTAGTTTCACTAGCACACAATTACAACAAGAAGGAAATTACGTAAGATAAATGTAGGGTTATAAGGAAGGTGTGTAGGAGAAGATGAGAGAGCAGAGAGGCCTTTGAGCTTTTGTTTTCCGCAGAAGTTCTTAGGGTCGTTCTGATCTGAGGAATTTTTTTGGTGTCAATGCTGTATAAATAGGGTTATTTGTTAGTTAAAATAGCAAGTCCCTAGCAATGGAGGAGAATGAAATTAGGAAGGGAGTCGATAGATAAATTTTGGATTTGTGTGGTGTTTAGTATAATTAGATCCAACGGCTGATAGTGAGGATCACAGGAAGGTTCAGAAGAAGGGAAGCCACTAGAAGGTTCTTTCAGTTTGTATCAAGAAATCAGTAATCTATTGCTTGCCTTAAAAGTTGTATACTTTGTATAAAGTCATCCCACTCACTTACAATGAGGCCTTCTTCTAACTCCATATTAATTTCAAGCGTTGTTCGAAAGTATTATTTTATTGTGATAACTTTTTCCGAAAGTGTTTTATACGACAGAAAAGGTCGTGAAATACCCATCTACTATTATAAATTATTTAAAATTATCATCCTCTGTATTATTGGCTCAGAAAAAAACTGTACCGTCTTATTATTGAAACATATGTACCCCTAACTTGATGGGACACGTGATACCCATTCAAAGGTGTTGGTCCATCCGGTTTTATACGACCCGCCTCACTACCCCGCTGCCTGACCCATCCTACCGTATCCTTCAATTAAAAGAAGACTGATGTTGTGCTTAAAGTATATATATTTGTATGGATATCACGTGATATCTTGCTTTTGTTTCGTGGATTTAGGATGTGAAATGTGTTTATTTATGTTAATTTGATGTGTTTTCATGTTTAGGAATGATCCAGGAGCAATCGGGGGAGGGATGTGCAATACTAGAGCCAAAACGGGGAAAACAGGAAAAGGGCATATTTCAGGACCACAGGTGGCGCCCAACCCTACCTGTGGTGCCAGAAGCAGAATCTGAAATTCGGCAGCGCTGTGGAGGGCGCCTGACGCTAGCTAGGGCGCCAGTGACGTGAATTTTCTCCAATTTCGTCCGGGATAAGATTATTTCGGCCCTAGAAGTACAACACGTATAAAAGAAAGACTAAACTTATTTGTGAAGGGGAGACGCCACTTGGGAGGAAATATACACACGAGAAACATCCGGGAGCACAAACATCTCAAATTTCTTCATCTTCACTAGTCTTTTAAATTATTCAACACTTATGCAATTGTTTGTTAGTATCATGAGTGGCTAAAACCCCATTATTCTGGGGTTGTGATTTAGCCATGAATATTTTTGTTTAACGTTGACTCAAACTTGATTACAATTCACTAATATATGGTTGTTTCTTCAATTCTGTGATTAATTG